AATAACACCGCCACCGGAGATGTTACCGACCAGGGATGTAGCTAGGATAGAGCATTTCAGTGTGACACTAATACTCTCCACCGTCACTTACTGAATGCTAACCGTGGGCTGGGCACTGGGCTAAGATCTTCATGCAGATTATCTCCTAATGGCGCCACATGCTGGGCGCCATTTCCCAGATGAGGAAACTGAGGCTCGGAGAAGGAGAGGAATTTGCGCAAGGTCACATTTCCTGGCAGGATGGAGCTGAGAAATGAGCCACACCTATTGGACTCCACAGAGCTGATGCTTCGTCAAGTCTGCAGTGGGTGAAATACTGACCCCTGTCCCTGAAAAAGAACACTTCCTCTTTTGAATATAACAACAACAATTCACAATAATAAAGTACTTTCCATTTGCAAATTACATTTACATCTGGAATCTCACTGAATCATCAAAAGAGCCCGAAGACATGGGCCACCGTTCAGCAGATGAGCTCACTGAAGCTCAGAGAGCGTGAACGGTTCCAGGATTAAGAAACACTGGCCTGGGAACCAGACCACCCTGGGTCCAAACTCGGGCTGTGCCATTTCCATTCCTTCCACAAATATTTACTGGGCATTTAGCTGTGTGAGCTCCCACAAGTGACTTCACCTCTCAGCGCCTCCATTTATTTCCTCTTTGTAAGAGTCTTAACACCACTCATCAATCCATTCTCTTCCTCGGCTGACAATGCCAGACACTTGCTTTCCCAGGCTTCCCTGTGGCTAGCCTGAGCACGTGACCTGATCCTGGCCAATGGGATTTAAGGAGGCTTTTGGGAAAGGCTGATCTCTCAAGGAAAAACGGGGCACACAGGATGAAACGCCCCACTTTATTGGTTGGATATGATGTGCCAACATTTGAAGGCTGGAACTGGGTAGCCAATTTGGGATATGAGGCCTCAAGCCTGAGGACCAAGCCACTTGCAGGAGTCGAAGGAGCCGAAAGATGAAAAGAACCTAGAATCCTGATGGCACCATGGAGCCATTTCTCCAAAACCAGCTCCTTTGAAACTTGCTGTTACGTGACAGGATGCATCTTCCTCCTTCTAGAAGCCACTTTGAGTTTTCTATGCTGTTACTTGCAGCCCAAGCAGTCAGACTATCTGGGTTGTCGAAGGGATTTCAACGAGCGAGTGGATGTAAAGTTCCACTAGTCAGAGCCTGGCACAATAAGCAGCAGCTACTCTGGAAATGAAGGAATCACCATAGGGCTCGATCCCCGAGACTGTTCCAGGGAACACAGACACTGCGGATTAGTTCCCGCTCTCTCCTGCCGAGAGGAGCCTGTGGAGTTTTCCGAGAAAGCAGAAACCCAGTGGTGGCCCCGCACCGAAACCCTGTCACTCCGTTGGGGCTGACCCCACTTCTAAACAAGAATCAATCACACTGCCTTTTGCCTAATGGATTTTGATTTTCACTCCCCTGACAGCGAAGGCTGAGGCCTGTGCTTTGGTTGGTCTCCGTGTTGCCAGAACATCCCATCAATTATTAACAGCGCCAGCTCAGCCTCCCAGTACTGCTATCAGAAGGAAAGGGTTTGCCGCAGCTCAGCCCACTCAGCCATGGAGAAAGGTCCCACCTCCTAGGTGCTAGGTACTGTGAGAAAGTGTGGCAAACACGACTTCCATGATGACCCTGTAAGGTGGGCCATTTATCTCCATTTTACAGGTGGGAGGCTGGGGCTTGGAGAGCTGAGGAACTTGCCAGAGGCCAGAAACTGGGGAGGGTGCTGGAGTGGGCCTGGACCCCCGTCTGTTCTTGCTCCTAAACATTGGGGTAGGGCCGTTTCTGAATCTCAGAGGGTAAAAAGGAGGACCGCCCAGAGATGCTCCTCCATTTTACCCTCTCCTTCTGTGGCTTCTGAGAAGTTCCCACAGGCCTTGCTGCCGGACAAGCATGGCATCCAAATTGGGGGGATGAATGGGAGTGAAGGGAGCACAGGGAACTGGGTTGCAGGTGGGCAGTGAGGGAGGAATGACAGATCCCCAAACCCTGAGACACAGTGACTGACTGATTGCTTGATTCATTCATTTATTCTGCATTTAGTTATTTGAGTTCCTCTGTGCCAGGCACCATGATGGGTGCTGGGAGCAGGGCAGTAAACACAACTCATGGCGTTTACTCTCTTGTGTGGGAGACACAGAGAAACAAAAGGAAGCAGATACCATTTCAGATGGTGCTTGAAGCCTATGCAGGAGAGACACTGCGTGATATGACAGAGACTGTGGGGAAGGAGGCTGTTTATAACAGGGCTCAGGAAAGGCCTTTCTGAGGAGACATTGGGGCAGGGCCTGCTTAAATGAGGCAGGAGGAGAAGTGGCTGGCCATGAGACAATCCAAGAAAGAGCAATCCAGGCAGCAGGAACAGCAAGTGCAAAGGTCCTGAGGTAGGATAAAGCCTGACTGGGATAGGGAACAGCAAGGAGTCCAGTAGGGCTGGAGCAAGTGAACTGAAGGAGAATAGAAGGAATGAGCTTGGAGAGGTCAAGGGCCTGGATTCAGGAGGGTCTGGTATGTTGTGGTGAAGGTTTGGATTTAATTCTGAGCGTGAGGGGAAACCTCTGGAGGATTTTGAGCGGATGAATCATGTGAGCCCATTTACATTTTGAAAAGCTCGCTCTAGCTGCTATGTGGGCAGTGGATGGCAAGGGCAAAAGTGGAAGCAGGCAGACTGGGGAGGAGGCTACGGCACTTATTCATTATGGAAAGAACCGGGTCTTTACAATCACACTTGAGTTTGAATTTCTGACTACTTCTGTGTGATGTTAGACCAGTTCCTTAACCACTCTGAGCCTCCCTGTTTGAGAAAGGTGGGGTAATCATAGAGAATTGGCATAAGGACTAATGGTGTTGTTACGCTTCTTACACGGTAGGTGTTTGATCAATGGCAGGCAGGATTTCTATCCTGACAGCCAATGAGCTTGCCTGCCTTCCCATTTCAGTTCTGGCCATCCATCTGCCGGGCATGTGTGCCGGCTGAGCCTGGGATCACAGCGAGGTCACAGAGCTAACCCTGTGAGCAGGTTAACCCAACAGGGAGACGAGGCTGTTTACTCCCAAACAGTGTCTTCTGCAAGCCTGAGCTTCCCTGTCTTGCTGTCAGATGCCAACCTAAACACTGCCTTTTGCCTGCTTCTTCTCTGTGAGGATGACCCTCCCCTCCCCTGCCTCTTACTCTCATGTCTTAGGGACATAGGGAGGAGGGAGAGTCGTGTCTGGGCCTAAACAGGATGTGGAGGGCAGAAACCCGTGTCAGGCCTGGAAATAGCAAAATAAGTCTCTTGATCCTAAGCCGGTTAAGGGTGAGTGACTGTCTTAAGAAGGAGGCTTTTTGGACACGAAACCTGGGGCAGGCTTATGACCAGAGGCAGCCTACATCCTCAGAAGAGGAAAGCAGGCCTAGGAATCTCTGTCCTCTTTAGGGTTGACAGGGAAGAGGGAAAACCTACACGCTTCCCTCCACTTCCCTCCCAGCCACACCCCCCTGCAGCCCCTCTCAGAGGTCTCTCCTTGGATAGTCAGATCTGGGCAAAGTACCCCACAGGGCTCCCTTCAGACTTGGCCCTGCAGGTGAGCCTTAGTGGGGAGCTGACTGAGCTGACTGAGCCAGGGGGATTCCATAATGAGCGGCCAGGCTGGATGAAGGGAGCCCTAGTAGGCTGGTGTGTAGACTTCCTCCCTTTTTGCCATGAATACATTGACCTATCCCCTTCTTTCCCCCCCACTTTTGGCCCTGCTCTCAGGTCTCAGATGGCGAGCTATGCTCAACACATCTTTTCCGAGTTGGTCTTCTTGGATTTTGGCATCAACACCTCTCTTTTCTGGGCTCCCCCTGGGCCCCAAATGAACGTCGTTATAGCACTGAACATACTGTGTTGTCATTTGTTCTGACATCCAGCACATTGGCCACATGAAGACAGGCCCTATCTCTCCAAGACAGCTCTGAATCCCAGCCTGACACAGGGAAGTTGCTCCGTCCTGGCCTGGCCCCCACCCAAAACCTCTCTCAGTCCCTCACACCTGGCAGCACACAGGACTGCCTGGCCCACCAGTGTCATCGGTTTCATCCCTGCCTCCTTCTTCGGCATTATTTTTCACACTGCCTCATTTTTCTCTCCTATTTTGAAATTTACATTCTCTTCCAACAGCCAGAGCATCTTTACAAGCTGCATCAAACCCTTCGTGGAATAAACTCACCACATAAATAAAGAGCAAACCAGTGGCAACCCTTTGCCCACAAGCGTCCTCAGCCAACGGCATGTGTCACGCACGCACACACCAACCCACCCCTCAGAGTCCCTCTGCCTCATTTTTCTTACTTATGTTAAAACGGCCTGACGGAATCTCAGTGTCCTCCAAGCAAGTCTATAAGCTGCTTTCATTCCCTCCTTGGGGGCAATGTGGGGTTATAAATACAGGGATAAGTACTGAAATTGCAGGGTGGCACCTCCTCCGGCCTGAGTCTGGGGCTTCCCAAGGGAGCATTCTGTAGAATGGACCAAACTCAAGTCTGCTCCTCCCCAGCAAAGCTTCACTGCTTCTCTGGGCTCTCTTTCTCCTTTGCCGTGTCCATCCTCTTGCTGTGGGCTTTTAGAAATCTTTGTAAATCCTTTTCTCCAACAAAGTCAGGATATAAAGTATTGAATAATAAAAGGAGGGGGTGCCCTGGCCCCATGTGGCTTGGAGGATAGAGCCGCGGCCCTCCAACGGAAGGGCCCCTCTCTTTCTCTCCCTCCTTCCCTCCCTCTCTCTCTTCCACTCTCTCTAAAAATCAATGGAAAAAATCCTCCAGTGAGGATTAACAACAACAACAAAGATGGGGGACCAGTACCACCCAGGAACAGTCTGCAGAGGCTAGCCTCGCTTCCAAGGTCTAGGCTACAGCCCCTCCTCCTTCAGAGTCCCCCAGCCGTGGTCATCAATCTGGGGACACAAGCAGAACCCCCCAGCCCAGCAGCCCCCAGGTCCCACGCTTACCTTGGCAGCCACCGAGGAATTGGGCTTCTCCAGCAGGTCCCAGAGCTTCTTCCTCTTCTCCGCACAGCACGTGTTATCGAACTCCTCGCCCTCCCGCTCTCGTAGGGTCTCGGCCTCACGTTTGAGCTCCTCGTTCATCTGCTCCTTCTTCTGGTGGTAGCGAGCCTGGCAGCAGGACTCCAGGTAGATTTCATCGATGCCCCAGTAGTCAAGCTCTTGGCTGAAGCTGAGCGCACACATCTCCTCCATCATGTGCAGCCGCCCCGTGCGGTAAAAGTTGAGGATGGAGGTGAAGGCGCCCGGGTGGCGGTCGAAGAAGTATTCGTTGTCCTCGAGGCTGTAGTCGTCGCACACTTCGAGCAGCGAGTCGTGGGTGTTGCAGTCGCGGAGCTTGCCCAGCCGCGTGCGGGGCAGGCGGTCCAGGGTGCGCCAGAGCACCTCGTGCGCCAGGCCCCCGACGTTGAGGCGGACTCGCCGCGAGCACGCCTTGCTGCGCACGATCTCCATGGGCTCGGGCGGCAGCGAACTGGTGGAGCGGGAGCCATGCTTCGTCATGCCCGCCGGCATCGCTGGTCCGGCCGCCCCCGCCCCCCCTGCCCCCCCAGGCCGCTGTCACTGGGCCGCAAGGCCGGCCGCTGCGGGGGAGGGGGGCAGGGAGCACTATGGGCTGTTGGGGGTGCAGGAGACCACGCAGGCGCGCGTCACGGCCGTCTTCTCACCTCCATCCCGACGACGGCTGCGAGGCAGAAAGCGCACGAAGGTCAGCAAACAGGGTACAGGGCGCGGCCCCTCCCCACCTTTCCAGCGGGTTCACAGCGGGCCTTGACCTTCTTGGTGCATAAGCGGCTCAGGGAGGGTAGAAAGGCTGGGCGCTGTCCCTGCCGCTGGTGCTGAAGCCCGCCCCACCCCACGGATGGAGGGAGGGGCCGCCCTTCGGAGCTGGGAGAGGGCCCCCAAGAGGAGCCCCAGGGACCCGGGAGGCCACACCCGGGTTTCTGCTGCTCAGGCCCAACCCGGCCGCCCGGGAGCTGTCCGCCCCCTCGAGTGCTGAAACTCTCTTTTCTTTGGGTATCCCCATCGAGTCGGGAACCTGGCCCCAAAATGGGGAGGGGAGCTGCACGAAAAACTTTTTTTTTTAAAGACCTCATCTTTTCCTTGCCCTGTTCCGAGATAATTAAGATCTGAGGGCTAGGGGGATGGCACTAGATTTGCTTTTTCGAAACCCTAAAAAATTTTGGGGAATTCTGTGGGGGTTCAGGTGCCCACTTGTCGGAGGTCGTAACAGACAGGATGGTCACAACAGCGTCGCTGTCCTGGAGCGACCCCTCTCCCCAAGTCATGGAAGCATCTCTTGAGGTCGCTCCGGCGACGAGAAGAGACCCGAAGGCGCAAAGCCAAGCTCTGCGCGGGTTCCCACCCCTCCCTCCGTGCCCCCTAACCCACAGCAGGAGGGGCGCGCAGAGTCCTGGGGGGTCACCTGCTCCGTCTTCCCCTTGCTCCTTCCCTGCCCCCTTCTCCTCCTCCTCCCCTTCCTCCTCCCCCCTCCCCCTCCTCCTCGCTCCTCTCCTGCGATGGCTTTTTATAACTCCGGGTTCTGCGCTTTTCCCGGGGCTTAGAAGGGAAGGGGTGGGGGAGGTGGGAGGCGGGGAAAAGAGCTGAATTTTCTGGCCTTTTAAAAACGTGCCTCCTCCTATCGCGCACTGGTGATTTCGGGGGCTCCTCTGAGCCCCCAGCAGTGAGGCTCACTCCCTCTCCCCTCACCCCGGAATGAGATCTCGTGTCTCTCCAGGCCCCAGCCCTTCCCCGCCCCGGAGCCTAGGTAGACCAACAGGCCGAGCCGCGCGGCAGGCGAGTCCTCGACTAGTGCCCCTTGCGCTCTCGCCGCTGGCCGCACGCCCCAACACTCACCTCCAGGGAGGCCGCCTCCAGGGGCCAGGGACCAAGCATCGCCCCGGCCGCCCGGCCGCCCCGGCCCGCGGGCAACGGCGGACCCGGGGCCGGGCTGGGCCCAGCTTACGCCGGCCGGGCTGGGGACGCGCCGGGGCTGCGGGCGCTGCGAAGCCGAGCGCGCTCTCCGAGGCTGGGGGCGCAGGCGGGCGCCACAGACGCGGGTGGCAGGACAGCGTTCGGGCGGCGCCTCCTGTACCGCCACCTTCTCCTCCTCCTCCTGCTGCTCTCGCGGCGGCGGTGGCGGCGGCGACGGCTGCTTGGGCGAGATCAACAAGTCCGGGCTGAGCTTCGGCTCCGCGCTCGCTGCGATTCTGTCCCGCACTTCAGAGCGCCCAGAGTTCCGCACCGAGGCGGGACGGCGCCACCTGCGGGTAGCGAGCGTGAACGCCGTTTAACTCCTGCTTGCCCGAGTCAGCCTGCTGGTGAGGTTGTGGGCCGGCTGTGGGTTTGGTCAGTCCTAACCTTTCCACCTGGGCTGTCTCCACTGCCTCCGGGCAATCCCGCCTTCCTTAGTCCTGTCAACATCGTGACCTGAGTGCCCGCTGTGCGCTAGACACTAGGATAAGCGTCTGAGACACAGCTGTGAACCCAGCACCAAAGCTTGGCTCTCACGGAGCTGGCTGGAGACAGACCCAAAACAAAGTCAAAGAACATTTAAGAGGGCAGTAAGCGTTTGAGGGAATAATAAGGCAAAGGAGAGAGATAGAGGCGGGGGCTGCAATTTTAAATAGCCCTCGCTTTCTTGAGTTTCTAGTCTAGATTCTAAAATCTAATTCTAGAATGGATTCTAGTGGGGAAATGTGGACGATGAATACATCAACGAATATGCAATGTGGCAGTTGGCGGTAACTGCTAAGAAGAAAAATAAAGCAAGGTGAGGGGAAGAGAGAGTGAGGTGTGAGCTAGTTTATATAGTTCATTCATTCATTCATTCATTCATTCATTCATTCATGTTATATTGGACGGCTCCCTGTGTGGCAGGTCCTGTGGCGGACTCACTAAAAAAACAAACAAACAAACAAACAAAAAACACCTTCCCCTTGAGCGCCCAGTCCAATGGGGGAGACAGAATCGATCAAGTAATCCCCAGAAGTGAATATAGAACCAAGGATTTACCTGGAGAGGTCAGCAAGGCGTCCCTAAGGATGCCATAGTTATCCTCCTCCCCCACCACTTACCCATTTATTCTTTCAAATACATATTTACTGCATGATAAGTAACTAGGCCCTGAGAGACAATAGAGAGCCCCTTGCTCTGGAGGAGAAAAGCTGTGAATAAGCCCCCGGCTCCCAGGGTAAGATCCTTCCCCTCTGTATCCCGTCATTTCTAAATTTAAAGGGACTTGTTTCCATAGAGTTGAACATAACATTGTTATATATTTTTTAATCTGTTCACGTCTCATTACCTCCATTATCATGACCCTTGTCCAAGGTTCCATCATCCTTGTGGGCAGAGGCTGGGGGTGTGGCTAGATTTCCTCCAATACATGGATAGCACAGACCTCCACAATAAAGAATTCTCCAGTCCTGAATGTCAATAGTGCCAAGGTTAAGAAACCCTGGTTTAATTTAACAGAAGGCAAAGGTATGTCCTGCTCTGGAAATGCTATTCCTTCAGCCAATAGTGAACACCTACTATGTGCCAAGCACTACTCTAGACACTGGAGATACAGTGAAAATATAAACGGCAGTTCCTATGACACATGGACTTACATCCTGGTGGGGAATACAGTTAATAAATAATGGGACAAATAAACCAATCATTCAGATTCTGATAAATGCCATGAAGAAAGCAAACAGGAGGAAGTGATAGAGCAGTGGTTCTCAACCTGTGGGTCGCGACCCCTTTGGGGGTCGAAAGACCCTTTCACAGGGGTCGCCTAAGACCATCGGCAAACAAATATGTAATTACAGATTGTTTTTGTGATTAATCACTATGCTTTAATTATGTTCAATTTGTAACAATGAAATTGGGGGTCACCACAACATGAGGAACTGTATTAAAGGGTAGGAAGGTTGAGAACCACTGTGATAGAGCATGCCTGAGACAAGTGTCAGCAACTTTAGATAGGGTAATCGGGCGGGAAGGCTGCCTCGAGGAGGTGATACATCTCAGCTGAGAACCTCAGGGCAGGGAGAAGACAACTGTGTGAAGTTCCGAGGAAGGGGATACAGACAAGGGAGCCAGAAAGAGCAAAAGCTCTAAGGTGGACAAGAGCTTGGGAAGGGATGTTAGAGGGTGGACAGGACCAAACCGTGTAGGGCTTCATTGGGATTTTGTAAAAAAGGTTAAGGAATGAGTCTGAGCTTAGAAAGCACAATGGGAAGCCAGAATAATGTTTTAAGCAGAAAAGTCCCATCTGCTGATCTCTGTCTTGAAGTGATTCTTCTAGCTGCTGCGGGCATTAAGGAATGTTGGGGGACAAAAGCTGGTAGCAGGAAGACCTAGCATGAGGTTTCTGCAATTGCCCAGGCTAGAGGTAATAGGGCTTGGACTGGGATGATGGTGGTGAGGATGGCTGGGCAATTTCACAGCCACACGTCTCTGACAGGGGCGATTCCTCAGTAAAGGCTAGGGCTAGATATTCGATGTCATTCAGATTCTTCCCACTGGGTGGCCTGATTCCTGCAAAGTCTGGCTCCAGATTCAGAGAAAGAACATCTGGATGCACCTGGAAGTGCAGACAATGGGAACAGCTCTTGCACTTTCCAGCAAACAGCTCTATTGCTACAACCTGTCCATTCATTTACTTAACAAGGATTCAGAGCAAACTTACTCAGGACTTAGTGGCTCAGAAAGCAAGCATTCTGATGTCATTACTTACATGCAGAATGACCTTGGGCAAATAATCTAATCTTCCTGGGCCTCAATTTTTCTCTCTGTAAAATGTGGATGGGAATAAAGAGAGTCCCTGCCTTATAGAGTTATTATGAGGAATTTTTAGAAAGCATTTACTCATTGCTAGCTCTTAACTGATAAACTGTAGGTTACCCAAGGGCAGGAGCTGGTCTGTCTTGCTCATCTCAAGTAACAGAATACTTAACTAATTGGGGCTTAAAGAATAAAGATATTTAGTTATTTCACATTAAGATTTCAGAGAAGGGTGGTATGAGAGTTGATTTAGCAGCTCTGTTATTAAGGACCCAAATTTCTTCCACCTTTTGCTCTGTCTTTTACAATAAATTGTATCCCCGGCTCTTTATCTCAGTCACGAAATGGCTGCCACCACTCCTTGCATTAATCTCTGTAAAATTGTATTCAAAGGCAAAAAGAACAAGATGGCCAAGGTGGCCAAAACTAATTTTCCTGTCATGCTTCTCTTTTTTTTTATAATCTCTCCACTCACTGCCAAATTTCCTACCATGGGTCACATGGCCACTCCTAGATCAAAAGGAACAGGATTCACCCTGCTACATTCATTACTGCCCTTACAAAACAGAAGTTTGTTTAACCAGAAAGAAGTGAAGATTGAAGTTGAGTTGGCAACCAACAGTGTCTGTCTCGCTGTTCTTATAGTGCCCAACATAATGCCCAGTATGCAGTAACTGCTCAATAAATATTTGTTGAATGAATAAGTAAGTCCTCTTACATGAGAGCATATAAAAAACTTATAAGACATACCTCTGACCTCAGGAATATCTGATCCTATTGGTGGGGGTGGTGACAAATTATATAGAAATAAAATTGGCAAAAAACTCTCTTATTTCCCTCACCCTGCCTCCAAGTCCTCAATGAGGAGACCGCTGAGATGGTTCACAGCCTCAAGTCAGCTAAACTGATGTTTGTGTATATCTTTAAAAGAAAAAGAGAGAAAGGAAGAAAGAAAGAAAGAAAGAGAGAGAGAGAGGGAGGGAGGGAGGGAGGGAGGGAGGGAGGGAGGAAGGAAGGAAGGAAGGAAGGAAGGAAGGAAGGAAGGAAGGAAGGAAGGAAGGGAAGGGAGAAGGAGAAGGAAGGAAGGAAGGGGGAAATGGCTAGTGTGTAAGCAGTGTTCCAGTCCTCTGGGCAATCCTGTATGCCAGATAGCAGAGGTCATGAGCTGATTATTTGCGGACTTCTGTTGTTTGGTCATCATGATATATATATATTTTTTAATTTTGAGCCAAGATTTAACTATCAGAGGAGTTTACATAAAAATCTGGATTTCTGGCTTCTCTTAAAAAATTGGAGGAACTAACTAACACTGGGACCGCATTCCTGTGTGACATGGAAATTGACTGCTACAGAGTGGTGACTGCCCTTGAGCCACAGCTGCCCCCTATAGGCAGGATGTGAACTGCAGTTTGCTGCAGTCTCTACCTCTTCCTAATGTTTCTCCTTCAGGGCACTTTTCTCATTTATGTTACTTGCTGGTCTTGGTATACATTTAAGTCTGTGCTCCTTGCATACAAAAACCAAAGAAGTCCAGAGATTGTCTCTTTCCTCTCTCTGGTTCCTCAAGCTCTGCACAGTGTCTAATTTAGAGTTTTTATTTTCTAAATGAAGACTGTAAGTTAGCCCTAGCCAGTTTGGCTCAGTGGATTGAGTGTTGGCCTGCGGACTGAAGGGTCCTGGATTTGATTCCAGTCCAGGGCATGTACCTCGGTTGCAGACTTGATCCCGGCCCCAACGGTGTATGTGTGAGAGGCAACCAATCAATGTGTCTCTCTCACATTGATGTTTGTGTCTCTCCCCCTGCCTTCCATTCTCTCTAAAAGTCATTGGAAAAATATCCTTGGGTTGGATTAACAACAACAAGATTATAAGTTATTTAATAGCAACCAGTATTCATTTTTTAAAATTTTCTGTCATCATAACTGGAGAGGCTACCTAGGAATACAGCCAATATGGTGGAAAGCAAAGCCCAGAGATTGAAACAATGTCACTAGAGCTTTTGGATCCAGACATACCTGAAGGTGATCCCCTCTGGATTTTCCAGGCATGTGAGCTGGTAAAAACCCCTTTTACTTAAGCCATATTGGGCTACAATTTTGTCATTTATGTCCCAAAGAGCACAACTGATATAATTTTCTCTCTACTAACCAGAAGTATACCATCTCCTTATAATGTGCTTATAAGAAATAAGGCAAACACACAGCAACAACAACTTACAGGAAACAGAGGAAAGAAAGTAATAAAACTCAGAAGGTTCTATAGAGAAGGGGTCCTGCAATAAGAGTTCAAGTACAACCATTTCATTTTACAGATGAGAAAACTAAAAAGCTCATCAAGGGGAACAGCATCCCAGTGGTCTACCAGGGAGTGGGCAGCCAACTACCAGCACCAGGTCACAAACCTTCTTCTGCTCAGGCCCCTTGGACTTCCTGCTGAGAAGTGTTGAGACTTTTCTCTGAGGCTGAGAGAGGTCAACTTGGCACCATTCATCCATGTAAATACAAGTGAATCCCCCTCTAATTTGTGCTGGCAA